AGTACAGTACTTTCTTGTGAAAGAGTTCACTGAGATGTTAGGCAGGGTGGTGGTAGAGTTTCACTGAGCATGTAAGTAAACAGAACCTGACACAATCTCTGTGAGGTTCAAAATTAAGCTTTATAAATTTAGACTGATACTTATGTTTGTGGGTTTATCTGCATAATCACTTTGCCATGCTTTCTTCCCATTCCAGAGCTGAAAAATCACATGGAGATAGGCCAAGCTTTACCCACAATATGTCTTTAATAAGCCACTCCAGATCATTTGTTTAAGATGAGAGACCATACACATTTCATAAATAAATAGGCATCAGGAATGGGGCCATGCTCATATAGATCTTTCACACACACTGTAATGGCAACGATTGGCAATTGTCCTTGACTAAAATTTGAAAATCACCAACCATAAGAAAACCTTCCTCCAGTCACCAGACAGAATGTACCAGGGTGGTGTTTTCAAGGTTCAGCCACCACACCCAATATATTTTTTTTTATTTGTGTTTCCCCCAAATAACAGTCAACCTATCAGCCAGACCACCACTAGATGGCTGCAAAGAATTTATTTGTCATAATTGCTGTGTAGTAATTCCCTGGATTTATGCGGGTGCTGTATAAATGATCTTGGTGGTAGAGTTCAAGAAAATGATTTTGGTCTGTGCAAGATGTGTTTTTCGCATTGAGTACACTTGGATATTTCTGCATCATTTTTCCGATGATTATTGACTAGTTGGCCTGTCAACCACTAGTAAATAGGAAAATGTTGAACTTTTTGTTCCTCTTGACTGCCAAATAGTGGTCATCCAGATCTTGCAGCCAAAATGCAGACATTGGATAAGTGTTGTAGAAAAGCTGAAGTCTAAGAAATCTCTTTGCTGATTCTTGTGTCAAATCAGTGTGCATAAAGCTCTGCATATCCAAAAGGATAGGAGAAGAGGAATAAATGACGATATATTGAAGCCAGATCTATACTAGATGATATTCTAAATGGAGTGAAGAGAGGAAGCAAAGATTTGGGAATTCCCCAAGAAGGGTAACCTAGAACAAGAATTCCCCACTGCACAGGCTACAGTAGTAGAAGGTTGAGTCCTTTCAATTACATATATTAAACTGGGAATGGGCAAGCCAATTTCAGAGTTGACAATGAATCAACTACTCCAGGGGAGCCAGAGCTCCATTCTGTTCATCAACTAAAACAATATTGTAGAACAGGCATTGAACCCAGAAACCAGATAGCTGATTTTCAAGGCCAACTGGAGCTGGTCATCATCTTTTACCATGTCTTCTCTTCAATGCACCATGGATTTTCCAGATGGGAGATCTTCCATTTTTCTAGATCAAACATGATTTCATGCTGGATCATGCTGGACTGGCTTCTGCCACTTTGGCAGTAGACTATATATGAGAACAAAGCTCTGTTGGAGGACAGGTCTTCAGAAAATATTAAATGGCGTATTTTTATCTACATGTACCCTCCTAGGCTGTGTAGCTAAGCCCTATGTGCTGTTGTTTATCAAAATAAGAAAACAGTGGCTATGGCAGCTATCAAAGTTTGTAAACTCTTTCCAGAATTTTATAAGATCTTTTTGGGGAGAATTAATAGCTTCCAAGTGTTTTCTGTAATCAGATAAAAGTCTTTCTACATTTGTTCTGGATTCTATGTCTACCTTTCTTTACTAAACTCATCAGAGGAAGATTTGGTTGTCCCACAACACCAAAGCATAATACAGCCATCCCCTATCCTTAATGATTGGCAAAATATTATTTTCTTTAGTACTTAGGCCTTGTTTCTCCAGATGTATCCTATGTAGTTGTGGCCCAACAGTTTAATTTTTGTTTCATTTTTCCAAAGTAGTTTGATCCCAAATAGTTCAGGTATCTTGTGGTTTTCTTTTGCACAATTTAGAGAATGGTTTTTGTGGTGAGGTTTCCTTCTGACAACTCTCCCATGCAGATCATTGTATAAGCAACACTATTGTGTGGAGCTGTGGATACCTACTCCAGTGTCAGGTAAAGTTTTCAGGACATTGCTTATAGTAATGTGTAGGTTCTGTTTTGCAAGTATTTTCAGCTTGGGGTAATTTTACCAGTGATTTTTCTTGATTCTCAAGCTGTTCCATAATTAATGAAAAAAATAAACCTAGAAAGAGGTTGGTTATTTCAACAAGACAGTAATCTTTCAAATCCGCTTCTAGAAAAAATGGAAAAGGTTTTGGAACAGCTTCCATAGTTTATAGACTTGAAAATCACATGGGGGGATTCAATGCATATAAGAATATTTCTGAGCTAGAATTGTTCTGCAAGGAACAGTAGGGAAAATGCCAAAAGTAAAAATATTTTGGCCGGCTATGGAAAATATTGGAAGTTGTTATTTCTGCCAAAAGAAGTGTTACAAAGTATTGACTGAAAGAATATCCAAACATCTGCATCTGTCATATCCATTTATTTAGAATCTGTAAACAACTGTTCAGAAGTAGTGAGCATGCATTCAAATTAGTTGAAAGCAGTTGTGCTTAATTTTGTATAATATAAAAGTAGTATCAGCTTCTATTCACCCAGGGTACCCTGGAACACACAGTCTGAGTAGAGTAGACATGTCAAACACAAGGCCCGGGGGGCAGATGCGGCCCGCAAAGTGGTTTCATGTGGCCCGTGAAGCCATCCTGTAAACAGTGAGGGAACGGCCCCCACTGCCTTGGCCCTAGCCCAGATCGGCCGGGAGCCAATGTACAATTTTGTGGTGGCCATCTATGCTGAAATGCATTCAGTCTTAGCTCCACAAGGCCATCTGGAAACAGCGAGGAACCCCTCCTGCATAGGCCCCGCCCCCTGGGTGCATGCTGGGGAGGTGCATGCTTAATTCCTTTGTGAGGAATTAAGAAATGCACCATCGCCTGGAAGTTGCCAGCAAATGGCCCTTGCCTACTTCACATATCCGGATTGATGGGCTCCGGCGGAGGGGTTTCAGAAGGCAGTGAGGCTACCCCAGTGGACCACGTCTTGGCACTTGCCCCGGTCCCACCCCCTTCTGCCAGAGACCCTCAGATCTCTCCCACTCCTGTCCAGGCCCCCACAGGCATCCTTGAATCGAATGATGTAAAGCTGGCCATGCCCACCCAATAGGCCACACCTACCCAGTAGGCCACACCCACTCTGGCCACACCCACCTGCCTCCCTGAGGGCAACCGCAATGCTGATACGGCCCTCAATGAAATTGAGTTTGACACTCCTGGAGTAGAGGTATCTCAACTTTGGTATATAACTAGAGATTATTAGCTACTTTGAATGTTCTATAATTAGAAAGGAAAATTAAACAAAGAATGATTTTTTAAAAAATTAAAAAATAACAAAAACATTGTGTCATTGCACTGTAATTCCACGAACAACAAACAACGAGATTCATTATGCTCAGCCTTGATTTGTTTCAGGCATAGTTGGCTAAACAAGTCTCAATGGCTTGATTTGCGCACATAATGCTTAGCTCAAATCACGGTTTATACAGGCTGTGGTTTATTTACATGTTAAACTGAGTTCTACCTAAGTATACTGTATCTGCAGGGCTGTTTTCTCACCCAGTATAAATTCAACTTATGCAAAACTAAGAGGAATCTATTAATAGATTTTTTTTGCCATGAATTAAGAGGGATAAAGACCTATATGATGGAACTTCTTGCCCTCTAAAATTTGAACAGTTTCAACTTTATTAGATTCCTAGAAATTACTAAAATGCGGAGTTGTTTAACATAACTTTTGACTTATAATGACACTGTCTACTTTTGTTTATTATTGGGATTGGTGTAAAAGTGGTCATTGTAAAAAAGAGTCTTGTCTGAAGATAATGCTTGAAAATTTTATAAAATCTGATTGACCTATAGGTAGAATCTGTATGCAGCTAATGTCCCTCAATGTTTTTGTTTGTTTGCAGATCAGGTGTAATATAGCATTATTGGCTCTTCTCTTTATAATATCTTTTTTCCATTTAAAATGATGTAATATTACTTTTATTTCTGCAGAATTAGTTCATATAATTTCAAACTCCAAACTGAGATTTTCCTGCAAAAGACAATAATTTTCTGGTTTTTTTCCAATTACTCCAAGTGTATCACAGATGCTTGGTAACCTTTCCAAACATACTGTTAACACTTGTCATACAAATAGAGAATAATTAATTATCATGCCTAAAGTGTGACATTTTCTCCACAAAGGCCTTGGGACTTCTAGGCAAACATTTTTAACTTGTTCCTAGCAGGATACTCCAATCAAGAGCATCTGCTGTAGATAGCTATTTTAAATGACAGCATTTGATACATGATATTAAAAAATAAAACTGGGAAACACTGTTGTATAGTGATTAGAATACAGTAGTATTTCAGCTGATTTCAAACACTGCAAGAAGCCATGATGCAATTTGTTTGGTTTTGGATCCTGCCTTTGGGGTTTGTGAACTGTGGCTTATGTCTTAAGTATGTTGAGTGAATCCAACTAACTCTGATTTATTCAACACACCACTATTAAACAAATCATGGGTCAATCTAATTTCTAAACCAGGCTGTAGTTCATTATCTGTGATAATCCAGAGTTTCCAACCTTTGTGACCAAATATGAATTCCTAGTGCTGACAGTCCCTCCGCATCCTCCATGCTAGTATAGTCCTATGGGAACCAGATCCTAAATAAAACTTCAGGTTGGGTTATCCATGTTCTAATAGTGGATGGGTTTATTATGTATCCTCCCCAATGCAATGCCTTCCTAATGTGTTTGATTGCAACTCATGGAAATTTTGCCAGTGAACATTCTGTGCTGAGTTGCAATTCAGGGAGTTGCTGTCCCAATCCATCTTGAAAGTATCAGATCATAGAAAGATGAATAAATGTCTAGCTTTTTCCAACTGTTTTGAAAAGTAAACAACTGATACTATATCTTTGTCATTCATGCTTTTTTTTAAAAAAAATGTATTTGTTTTCAATTTATTTTCCATTTCTTTTTTCTTCTCTTGAACAGTTCCACCAAGTGAAAAGAGTGATGACCATCCTTTTCCTTACTATGGTTATTTCATACTTGAGTTGCATGAAAGCTGCCCCCATGAAGGAAGTTAGTATCAGAGGACAAGGCAGCTTGGCTTATCCTGGTCTTCGGACACAGGGAAATCTGGAGGGCCTCAGTGGGCCCAATGATGCCACCAGAGGATTAACATCTTTGGCAGACACTTTTGAACATGTCATTGAGGAGCTCCTGGATGAACAGCAGGTCATTCAGCCCAGCAAGGAAAACAAGGATGCAGACTTGTACTCATCACGAGTGATGCTAAGCAGTCAAGTGCCTTTGGAGCCTCCTCTGCTTTTCCTGCTTGAGGAGTATAAAAACTACTTGGATGCTGCAAACATGTCCATGAGGGTCCGGCGCCATTCTGACCCTGCTCGCCGTGGGGAGCTGAGCGTGTGTGACAGTACTAGTGAGTGGGTGACAGCAGCTGAAAAAAAGACTGCAGTAGACATGTCCGGAGCAACGGTTACAGTCCTGGAAAAAGTCCCAGTGCCCAAAGGCCAACTGAAGCAATATTTTTATGAGACCAAGTGCAGCGCGAAGGGTTATGCAAAAGAAGGCTGTAGGGGCATAGACAAAAGGTACTGGAATTCCCAGTGCCGAACTACTCAGTCTTACGTCCGCGCTCTCACCATGGATAACAAAAAGAGAGTTGGATGGCGCTTTATAAGAATAGACACTTCCTGTGTTTGTACACTGACCATAAAAAGGGGAAGATAGTGGATTCATGTTGGATAGATTATATTGAGACAAAAATTATCTATTTGTATATATACATAACAGGGTAAATTATTCAGTAAGAAAGAAAATAATTTTATGGACTGCATGTATAAAGGAAGTTTATACAGTACCGTGGTTCCACAATCTATTTATTGAACATGTCCATTACCTAAAAGGGAACAAAAGGAAAAAAAATCCATTTGTGCACAACTTTAAAAACAAACAAAATTGCATTACATTCCTCTAACATTGTGATTTGTTGCCGTTGCCAAGAATTGAAAACTTAAAAAAAAATTAAAAAAATAAAATTGCATGCTGCTTCAATTGTGAATTGATGATAAACTGTCCTCTTTCTGAAAAAAAAATTGAACCAAAACATTCCGTTTACATTTTAGACAGTAAGTATCTTTTTTCCTGTTAGTATTATATCTGTTAACTGCTTTTAAATTCTGGTAGCGTTGGAATTAAAATAATGTCAAGGTGCTGTTGTCATAGTTTTCCTGTTGACGTTTTTTTTTTTTTTTAAGTTTAAAATTCCCACATGGTTTGAAAATAGGAGAGACCCTTCTCCCTGCCATTGACATATATATTCTGGAGAAACAAATTCGGGGTTTTTTTTTGTTTGTTTGTTTGTTTCTTTTTTGTATGTTGTGAAGGTGTTTGCAATATCAAATCAGACTACTGAAAAAAAAAAATAAAGAAGAGGCAACTAAAAAAAGTCAATGCTGATCTTCTGCCCAGTGCTCTTTTCTAATCTACACTACAAGCTACCCTTCCATTTTGGTTACAGACCATGGGGATTCCTTGAATTTTGCTTGTAACAGCCTTTTCCATCCTTCAGCTATGTGGAGAGTGCATGTCTCAGAATCCCCACTTAAAGCTGCATACCCAGCACATACGGAGGTCACTAGGTTGACAAGTGCTGGCTTCTAAAACATTGTTTCATGTTCGGGTTGCGTATGGGGTCTTCTTATCTTGGGAAGCAAAAGCATCATAGTCTCTTTCAGATGTAATTCTTTTCCCTCTCCCAAGGTGTTGAAAACAAACATTATATTTCAATCAAACATGGAAGAACCACACATTGATACGCATCCATTATACTTGATGCTAGATATTCTCAAGCTTTAATAGATACATCTATTGATGGGGATGGAGAATCATATCCCCATAGGAGAGTCACTGGCCATACAGCCAGGTTATATCAAGACAACTAATTTATTGTGATTGGAAAACCAATATTGTTAAATAACATTATTAAATCCCAAGGAAAAATAATCTGAACATCTGATCATATTGGTGCAAAAATGGCTAACATGCCATTATTATTGTAATTATAGCACTGTACAGCACTTACTGAGGGTTTATAGCTAATTGGCTTCTGTTCGCAATGGCAGGTGTAGTAATCTCAACCGAATAGCACCCATGGAAACTCAGTGAAACTGTAAAGGAGATCCATGAAATATAATATACATAGTAAAGCCTGATCTTCTTAAAATAAAAGTAATGTCTAGAATATTTTCATTTTCAAGTATCGGCTTTCTGTACTATGAAACAATTCAGGCTGCAAGGAGTGGCTCTGGAATCAGAAAGTCAGAGCCTTCTACCTCAAAACCTAACTACCTGTTGCTTTTAAATATGGCTATATGCATCTATGTCTTTCTAAAGGGTAGCACAAAATAGCCTTAACTCCTATAGGGAGCTTTGATTTAAAATCCCTAAACGATGGGATACAAACCTGGCATCGGTTGTATGCACTTTAATTATAGCTGATTTCAGTGGGATGCACATGCAAGAAGCTGACCACAGAATTAAAGCCTTAGGCCATGGATAATGATAAACAAATCCAACACAACCCAGAACACAAATAGTCAATTAGTCTAATATATACAAGTATTTTTATTCTTGCAAGAAGTTTGAAGAAGTGCATTTTTTCCTAAGAGCATTTCTCATATGATCCATGTAATAACAATGTTATTTAGTATCTAGCATTATTTCATAGCAACAAGGCACGCTTTCCAGGATTATTTGTTTTGCTACAAATAAATATTTGTAACATATAAATAGGTGAAGAAAGTTTGGACTGTACCACTTCAGACTGCAGATAGAATACCTCCCTCTCCATTTCTGAAGGACAACCTGCTTAGAAAGTCAACAAGAAGGCTAAACAAAAGCCCTACTCTTTGATTAGTAGTTTCCTGGGAGGAGGAGCTAGAGAAGCCTAATTCAGTCTTTAATACAGTTTAGGCATAGATTGGGGGGGGGGTAAGTGTTTGAGTGAATGAGGCTAGCAAAAACTAAGAAAATATTTCTTGACCAAAATCTGTGTTTTTTAAAGATTAAGATCTCAGAATATGTCTTACTTAAAGTATCTGTAACTTAGGTAGCAGCTACTGTAATTCCACTATTGGAATTGTTACTTTAATCATGGAAACTAGTCATCCCATATCATTAATATGCAAGTGTAGAGTTATCAAGAAGAAAATGTGGACATAGAAAAAATCTAAATATATATTCTTAAAAAAAACTAAAATAGCGAAGCTTTTTACTGGCTTCTAATATTTGAAAAATAGGATTGATTCTGATTAAACTGTACATGCTGTCCTTAGACATGAGTTTAGTATTAAAGTAAACCAATGCTGTTGATCAATGACACTAAGCAGTAAATACCATTTCATTATTCAACAATATCTGCCTAAAGTCAGGCAACCAAATGGTTGTTAAAGCAAAACAGATAGAAAATTATCCTTTGTAAGGAAAGATGTAGCTGGAGCTAACTCACATTGTCCAGCCTATGACCATCCCTTTCTTTAACCTGTTCCTTTAGACCTATAATAATAATACCATCTTCTTATTATGAAATGGAAAAGAATATCTGTTGTAAAAATCCCTATTAAATAAATAAAAAGATTGCATAAAACCATTCCATATAAGAAGGTCTTTTTTGTTCACACAATTGAGAGCAGAAATAGAAAGGAAGCCTTGTAATCTCTGAGATATTTCCATATCCTGATTTTCTTAATCTATTAGCTTAAATTTTCTTTCTCTGTGTCACTCTTACATAACTTTCTTAACTACAGTACACAGATTCAACAATCATCATATTCATAAAAAAACAATTTGTTTCCCTCCAACCCTGCCACCTGAATAGGGATTTCTGAAATAAGCCATCCAAATTCCCTTAAATGATGAGCAACAACTGTAGTCTGCAGTCTAAAAGAGTTAAACATAATCAAAATTGCATATAAAATATGCTCTATTAGTGTGACCTGTGAAAGGGGGAATATAGAACATATTTATTTATTAGTTAAATTTATATGCTACCCATCTTGCTATCCACAGTGGTTTTGGATAGGCATAATCTTACTCTGAACTGAAAATGTTGCTATTTCATTTTAATTTTTAACAGTAAAAAGAAATGAATTAACCAAGATGCAATTAGAAATACCGGTATCTAGAATTAGTTAGTATTAAAGAAATATCTCCCTGATGGCTATGAAATAATAATAGAAACAATAGCAGCAACTTTTCTGAGTATAAGATGCCAACCAAGACATTGGGGATAGACAATGAGACACATAATGGTATAAGCTTATAAACTTTCCAGTTAAAGTCTAACCTCCTCTAGTTGCTGTAGGGTTCCCATTTTATCCAACAAGAAGGATGAGGCTTGAGGATCACAGAATGGGAATGTAATATGAAGGTGCATTTCATATAACTAACAGTAGTAAACATAGACTGATAACTGCATTTGAAATGTGCAAATAGTCACAGATCTTTACTAGGATACAGAAACATTAAAGAAATTTGCTATGCAACAAATTGCCATTTCATGAATTATTTTCCTAAACATTGCAATTATTTTTAAGCTCTCCCCCCCCCTCTGCATGCCCGGCCCCATCACTATTTTTAACACCCATTAGTTAGTCTAGGCCAGACCTACTATTGCAAAATACACTACAACAGACTTGGCAGTTTTAGTGGAACTGAGATTTCAAAAATGTCAGTCAGTTGACGTTTTGCTGTGTTTTGTCTGTGGCGGAAATATTTCATTGTCATTGGCCCTATTGTTTTGTTTTGAAAAAAATTGGAAATGTAAGTTAATGTTTGTGGCCTTGTTCTCTCTTATTCTCCATGTATAACAGATATTTATTGTATATTTATATAATTTTATGGGACTTTTTTGGAAAAAATGAATCTGGCATTAAACCTTACAAGATCTGCATCACATTGTAAATATAATTAAGCTATATTTAAATGTACTGATTAACATATAATATATGTTTAAATATAGATGTTTATGTTTTTAAATATCATATATATATATATATATATATATATATATATATATATATATATATATATATACACATATACATACATATATATGTAGAAAAAATACCCTTGGCTTTTTGGGGACCATGTGACTTTTCTCTAATTGTAAACCAAACATGAGTTTTACAAAGAATATGTGTGTTCTTTTTTCCCGAAACAAAATCTACTTTTATTTTAACAATAAAATCTTTTTGGTAAGGCAGCTAGGCAGCTGTTTCATATTTGGACAAATTGGCAATGGGAGGGTATTTCAAGAGGTTGAAAGGAAAGGAAATAAAAGAATAATTCCCAGAATTAAGCCTTTTTATTTAGCTGAAAACAATAAAGACTAAGCAAGTTTGAATCGGACCCAGTAGCTTTTATTCACCTTTAAAATACATTAATGGCTAAACGTACATTTATAACTTTCAAGTCAAATAATTAAATCACAGAACAAATGAATTTTGTGCAGATGCCATAATTCAATGTGTGCAGCACACATGCAATGTCTTGAAGGTGCACATGCTACTTTGTACAATTAAGGATGATTCTATTTCTTTCAGAAATGATACTGCATGTGTAATCTATTCTTTATTGTACAAAGCAGTGCCTAGAACTTAGGCAAAAGGAACAATAATTAGCAGACAAATCAGAAACTTATTTTATCAAAATAGAACATTACAGAAAAATATATAGATTTCTTCTGGAGCTCTATCATTTCAAAATGCAGAATCATCTCTTTAAAAGTTTCTCCTACATCTAAAACTGTCTATAAAAAGTAACATGATAGAAACAATGACATGGACCTAGATTTAGGCCATATCCCCACTAGCATTTTACCGTATTTTCATGGTATCATTTCATCATCTTTAAAATGATATAAAGTCCGTCCTCATTATTGTTAGTTGAGCAATACAAAAGGAAGCTATGATAATCTCGGATAAACGTGCAGAGGTCTAAAATTGATCTATTGAACCCAAGGGAGTTAAATCATTAATGAGTCCCATTTATTTTAGATAGATTACTCTATGACAGTATTTCTCAGCTTTGGCAAACAGTAAGATGTTTGGAGTTCAACTCCCAAAATTCCCCAGCCAATATTGATCAAGCCCAATAGTTCCAAATTTCCCTCTGCCAGATGTGAGGCTGGTGATTTGCACACAAGCAACTTGCCAGCCAACAGTCTGAAGTGGTACAATCCTAATATAAAGTATCCATAATTTGGCTCTGCAGTCTTATGTTTCCTGTTTTTTAAAAAAAAGTAGGATGAGAGATATATATATAAATGTTATACTTAGGCTGTACTCGAATGGTAATATAATAATCATATGCTTCATTAAGAACTACTGAAAAATACTGAAAATATTAAATCAGTTTATTATTCAGTCATTACTGCTACTATGTAAAAAAAACATGGTTGTATAAGGACATCCTATTAGAGCAGGGGTAGGCAACCTTGGCTCTTTTATGACTCGTGGACTTCAACCCCCATGCTGGCTCAGGAATTCTGGGAGTTGAAGTCCACGAGTCATAAAAGAGCCAAGGTTGCCTACCCCTGTCTTAGTGGATTTCACTATATCTGATATAGTGAAACAAATTTGCCTCTCCTATAACTGCCAAGCCTTTGTACACTTGTGAATACCACTGTCTTATAGCCATTTTGATGAAAACAGTTTCATGAAATGGAAGTTCTCTCTACTAAAAGTGAACTATTTACTTAAAAAGACATTTGAGGGGATTCACTTTTTTAAAAAAAGAAAACAATATGTTCTACGCGTCTAAGTGGGCAACTCAATATTTAAAAAGACGGCACTCACACTCAACACTTTTATCCAGACCCATGTAAGACATCTTATTTTCATTCTAATTAAGTTGATTTAAGGTACTCCACATTATTAAATAAAAGCTTTCAGATGTATAACAAAACACATCTCCAAAGCATACAATTAATTTTGTTCAGCAGAATAAACTTGATGTGTGTACTTTATCAATTTAATTGAGACTGAGTATACACAGCACATCAACTAAAGTTGCAAGGGCTGGTTCAGAATGGTGGGACCTTGCATCTACCTCACTCTGCAGTGGCCCCCTTCTGTTCTATGGCAGAACATCCTATTATTTTTAAAGAGACATGGTCCTATTCAAGCTTCAGAAAAAAAGTAGGAAATCACACATTTCTACAACCCCACAAACAAAAGTTCTCTCTTGTCCCTTTCAGGCTTCCTAGGTTGAGTGGAAAATTCAACTCACAAAGAGTAGCTTTCCATGACCAAAACCTCTAATTACGGAGAAGATTCTTAGATTGGCCTCATATGTTGTATTATGCTAAATGACACTAAATTGTTGGGTTTGAATCTAATTTGCTGTGCAAAACTCCCACAATTATATAATTTGTAAATTTTATATTCACTTGGCTTAATCAACAAAAAAAAATGGCTAGGAATATCATGGCTACATCAAGTAGTATGCTTAGATTCTCCTTCAGAACTCCATAATTGAATGAAACTTTATAAATGAATAGAGGGGAGGGGGGAAGGATAGGACTGGTACACGCTAAAGCACTAATGGTGGCTGATGAGTACAGCTGGGACTATATATCTTGAACAGACAGCATGTAATAGGGCTGGGCAAAGCTTTACAGAAATGCTTCCATTTAACAAAGGTTTGGCTAAAGCGCCCCATTAAAAATAGAATCTCAGTAGCAGGAGGTTCTGAAGTGCTCCATGGCTTTTCAAAGGATTTCATAGATTCATTAGCTTTTCTATTGCTTCTGGTTATTATATACAATAAACATTGTGGTCAATTCAGTTCTGTGTAAGGAGAAGCTAAAGGGAAAGTGAATGGTGTGAAGGAGTCATGGACAGGGATATAAATAGCCAGGCAATCAATTAAGAGCATCATTAACTCTGCCTAGAGCCAGATCTGTGTAGGGGTCAGGGTAGAAACTGAGAGATTGTGAATTCTAGTCCTGCCTTATGCATAAAGCTAGTTGGGTGATCTTAGGCCAGATACTTTCTCCCAGTCCTAGGAAAGATGCAATAGCAAACCACTTGTGGGGGGAAAAAAACCTTACCAAGAAAACTACAGGGACTTGTCCAGGCACCTTCCAAGAGTTAAACATGATTGAACAGAAAAAAAAACCTATCTCCTACAGTACTGAGAACTCTTTGGGATAATGGCAAGACTAACTTTACTTCAGGATTTACTACCTTTTTCAATTTTGTAGTGTGGTCACAAATCTCCACTTGGGTTTCTCTTGGTTTCATAAAATATGACACTTCTCTGTGGGGTTCCCAGTGATGAATATTTTCTTTCTTTTCCTTCTATCTCTTTCTTTACATCATATTAGTTTTGTTATTTTTTATCTTCTTCTAAAACTTTTAATAAAATATCACACATACACACACACACACACACACACACACATACAAAGAATTTTACATTTCTCTGCATTTATTCTGCCTCTCTTTCCAACTCTTGGCACTCTGAATGTTGGCTCAAGATTGCTCTTCCATATAAATATAGAACAGTTGGAGGAGGACTATAAGTGAATGGGTCCTAGGCATTGCCCCAACCTTTTACTGCTCTAAAAATAGATACACGATGACAAGACTCGAAAACATTTTGTTTTTTCTGAGCCGGGTTTTTTTTTTATTATTCTATGGGTTGATTATCTCTGTGACACCGAGCCTCACTTAGCCATTCTGCTCTAGCTGCGACTAAATCCTACCAATGATGAAGACAGTCCTTCCCAAAAGGGACCAAGTTTGCCAGATATCCAGGTCAGCCCTTCTAGTAGTCAAAAAAACTTTGATTAGAGGCAAGAAAATTTCCTTTCCCTATACAATTTGCGAAAATGCCAACCATTCTTCAGTCTATGCCATGCCTGGAATCCTAGAAAAGAAAGTAGGAAACACTTCTTTTTTTAAAAGGTTGTGTGGAATTCTGTAGTTTTAAATTTCTGTAGGCCCTTTATAGTGTGTATTAATTCAGCCAAAGTCATCATAAAATTTTTTCTAACTGTTTAGTGACTTTTTTTTTTTTTTGGCTTATGGGAAGCTAGGAGGAAATGTCAGCAATCACAACTGAGTTTACACTTCCTGCTTGCTTCCCAACTGATTTGTGGGAAAGTGTCAGGGAGCACTGGAAATGACAATCATATGCCCACAACAGTGTGGTGATACTGAAGCAGCAGCAGTATGGCAGCTCTGAATTGGCAATAACTTTCCCAAATTTCATTTCCACAGGAATAATGGGTCTCATCATTCAGTAACTTAGCCTATTTGTGGTTTCTTGATTCAAAAATTCTTGCCCTATGATACACATTTACTCAATTGAAACTTACAAACAAACACACAATAGTACATACTGTAGATTGCGCTCCCTTAGAATCGCCAGTCTCCAATTTGAATCTAATCAGGCTGTTTCATATGGTTTAAATTGTAGGGGCATTTATTCATTTCTGCCTATTTTGAAATTTTGGGCAGAAATTAGGCAGAAATTTCTGAAAATTCATTAAATCCATGAAAAATTATCAATATATGACAATTTGATTAGATGGACTACAAGTTCTGATTAATAAATCATTTAGTTCAGGTTATTTTTAGAAAATGCAAAATTCTTTATATTCAGATTTGATTCTTGCATATTTATTTTTCTGGACAGTGATATGGAAATATTTTGCCATTACCTTTTTCCAGGATGTTTTTCTATCCTTTTATACCTCTGATATTTCCAGTATATTTTTTTAAATTGAGAATTGGTCTTTATAGCCATTAAAAATAGATGTGATAATCATCACTTTTCACGGAGATAGAAATGTCACATGATGGAAAAATACTGAATCACATACATATTTAGTCCACAGGCAGAAATTTCTCAGTAATTACTAAAATGGCAAAGTGT